AAACCCGGACAGTGCAGGAAATTGGATTTTGCATCATAAAAAAAGCAGCCATAAGTTTTTGCATCACTAATAAGATATCAGGTATATTTTTCGGCAAAACGGCCGCGCTAAGAAGAAGAAGTAGAAGTTTTTTCACACAACAATAAATGCCTCCCCTCGGACTTTTTTATTCCTTGCGCGCTTTTTTTTACGTATTTAACGTTCTTTTTTTAGATCCCTCTCGCGAGATTGCCACGGCTTTTTCGATCGCGGCGTGCACTGCACTCGAATTCTACCTGCATGCGTGATTTCTGGTTTTTTACTCATTTCGTGGCCCCCTTTCTTGCTGGGAATATGAGAAATTTCGCAGCATGCTCTTTTCCTCGCAGTACGACGAGGGATCGATTTCATTACCACCCCGAGACCCCGACCTTTGCTCTGCTTTAGAAATTTTCAATAAATTGAATATTAATATCCAGACCAACTGCCAAAAACTTTTCGTTTTTCATATGAACGATGTTTGCTCGGTACGAGACTTCTTCATCAATCAATTTTTTTGAATTTATTTAAAAAGCAAAAAAAGTAATGCGAGATCTATATATTTTTAGAGAGAGGATTTTAAACTTTTGAATCAAAACGAACGCCATAACGGCTTTTGATCGAAGATGGCGGCCTGTTTGCATACTAAATAGACGAAGGGGTTGAGCTCAGTGATGTGTAGCGAACGATTTCATTCGAAATTTATGCGCAGCAGCCAATAACGGCGCATCAGAATATTCAAAAAGGGGTTCGTTCGTGTGTGCGCCGCGTGTTTGCAGGCAACCCCTTTTTTTATAATTTTTTGTACCGAACTCCTTTCGTTCCGCATTTACTTAACTGCACGGGCGCAACCCAAGGTTCAACACACGTCCAACATACGACGCACTGAGGGCAGGTGCTGCAACTTTTTTGTATTAGTTCCGATGCGGCACGGATTTTTCGTTTGCGGCACCCTTGCATTTCCATTTGAAAGAGGTGCAATTTTTTGTATTCGGCGACCCCCTTTAACAGAAACCCTTTTCAATCCTTCATCTTCTTGAATTTAAAATTCCCTTTTTGGCAGCCGCTGTTATTCACACAACGCACGCATATAAAAGAATATATATAAAAAAAAAAACGAGAGACCCGCCGTCTTTCATAATGCAATAAATTTAACTGCTCTCCAACTTCTTTTTTTATTCCTCTCTCTTTCATTCAGGCCTGCTGCAGCGCGTCTGCCGTTCGTTTGCCGCGCACACGCGGATCTCGGGGCGTGTTATTTTATTGTATACAAAACAACCCTTGCGTCCCCAGCCGACATTATTATGCAACCGACGCGGCACATAAATAAAAATTATTCGGGCACGCGATGCTCCATTGGTCGCATTAGCATTTCACACAAAACGAATCAAAGGGTTGAGTTCAATCCGCGTTCTCCATCTTGTATTTTATGTATTCAAACGAGCGTCGCGTGCTATGAGTTTTTTATTCAAACTTTTTATATGGCCAAGAGTTGAAGCGCCGGCCCGTGGGTGGATCGCTTTTTCTCCTCTCACATTCAGATTTGAGCTCCAGTTTTATATCTACGAAAAGCAGGGCGGGACTTGTGTTTGCTTTCCTTATGTATGCCGCCCTATTTGCATCTCTGAAAAAAGCACCTAGGTGCGTCGTCATGGCAACAGCGGGTGCTGCGCCGAATCATCTCGCTCGCAGCCTGCGTCATGCGCCTCGGATTTTCAACACCCTCGCAGGCGAAGGCGTGAAAAATTCGATTATAAGAGAGGGAAAAATATGAAACAGGATTCAGAGCTTTGATTTTTTCAAAATACCAAATTGGTGAAATGTAAACAGACGCGCGCTCGGCTGGTTTGTGAATTAGAAAAAGGGTGCGTCGGATGAGCGCATCAGCTGGGGGTGGATATTGCTGCTGGCTGAATGAGATCAATTTATTGGCCTCTTTCCAACTGCGATTGTGGCGGTGGCATCATTTGGGGTTCAAGGGGCGCCCCAATGTGCTTTATGTTTGTATGCAAAAAATTAATATTTTATGAAAAATTGTTCAACTTTAAACTTTTATTAATTTTTATAACTATATCATTATATTTTTATAAAAATAACACCAATAAATACAATTTATTAATATATTTATTAAAACTTTTATTTATTTTTGGCTATTTAATTATATATTTGATTTGTTTACCTCTATTGTTCCAAATTATTTATTACTAAAAGTTTTAGATCATTATAAAACTTCAGTAATTATTATATATACTTGATGTCCCAAAATTAACTTTTATTCTTAATTCATGTAATTCATTTACACTGAGTAGTAACTGAGGGTTAAGTTTGTCATGAAAAATTTCATTTATGTTATGATATTATCCAGTATTATATATCCCCTTATCGCATATCCACGAATCTCCGCAATCTCTCATGTGTGATGCAGCGTCGACAGACAAATCTGCGACGATTTTCCTAACAAATGGCAACACGCGTCCGAATCACAAGGAATTTGTCACCTGATGGCCGCGGCTATACCATACTCGCTGCAGCTTTCACGCCCCGCCGGCCCCGGGAAATTTATGGATCTCCCCAAACTCTGTTACATAAGAAGAGCTACTGCGTGCCGGATTTATGATTAATTGGCAGTCCGATCGGCTGCATTTATCAGCCAGAGCTTTCAACATTTGTACACATCTGCGAGTGTCATTCATCTTTCCTTCGGCCGGAGAAAATATTTGTACATTTTTTTTATCGAAAAAAAAATCTATGCAGTTCCAAGAGCGATAGATTTGCATGCAAAAAAAATGAGTTGAATTCTGTAATTTTTACAAGCAATTTTAAAATGAAACTTTTTTTAATTTGCTTCCCTCGATCAAAATTAAATTTACTTGATGAATAATTGACTTATTTTGTGCTGTATCAAAGGATATTAGTTTTCAATCAAATACAAACGGACAGAGATCTAATTGCACCGGCTGCACTCCTCTCAAAACGTTATCAGCAAGGAAAGAAAGCAGAAAATCGAATCTGTGTGGAGGAGCCAAAGAGACGCGGACACCTTGCTGCTTCTCAGCAATAGAGCATTTTTTTTCTCCGCTGCAGCCGATCTGTGGCGGGTAAAAAGTAAAAAGGACGAGGACTCGTGACAAATTCGAGCTCTTTCTCTCTCTCCCCTGTGTGTGCTCTTCTTATTTTTACACTCTGGGTGGCCTCTTTTGCTTAAAAGCGGTGCAGAGTAAAAGAAAATGTACCAACGGTGGAGTGAAATTTCTATTTTCCATCCTAATGTGGGGAGGAAATTAAATCATGCAAAAAATAGTAGCGCAGCTTTTAATACAGCAAAGAAACTGCGCGCGCCGAGCAGATGAAAAGCTAATGGAGTTTGCTTGCTTGCTTGGTCCAGCTCGGGTCGGGGCAAAAGAAAGAAAGAAAGAGCCGCGTGGAGCGAGAGCACTCTCCGGCGGCGGCGGCGGCCGTGCGGTATTGATTGGCGAGTACACAACATTGTTGGCACGATGACATCACAGGCGAATGTTGAGGGTGGGTGGCGGGCTGGCCGGAGAGCAGACGCAGCCAGCAGCATCAAGGGGGTTTGCGTTTAATAATAATGGCGAGCGAGAGCGAGGGACCTGACCGTCCAGCGGGGGAAGATGAGATGAAAATTACGCCGCCCCAAGAACGCGCCGCTTATTAGTCTCCCGCAGCCGGAGGGACTTTTGGTGCGGAAAGAATGCGTTTTGCTCGCGTTTCCATCCCAGAATAGCCCCTTCTGAATGAATATTTTAGCATAACTTCATGAAATATTGCTCAAATAATAAATAATAGAAGAGTGGAGACCCGTTCTAAATCTATTTGCATAACAGATATCAATGATAAGGTAAGGTTTAACAGTTTTAAATAAAAAAAATTTAATTATTTCCATATTCAACGGCTTGATGTAAATTACATAGCACATGTAACTGAAATTTAAAATATCAAAGATAACTTTTATTAAATTTAAAATATAAAAATAAATTTTTAGTTATGTAACAAAAATTAAAAAAAAATTATTAAAAATATATACTTAACTAGGCAAACTAAAAATTTGTTATTTAATACTTAAATAAATTATTTTACTAATGAATTTTTAACTTATTAAATTTGGAAAAATGACTTTTTACTAACAATAAAGAAAAATAACACCATATGTATGAACTTTTTTATTGCATATCTTTACAATCCGACTCTTGTTCTTTATTTTAAAACAAAACCGTTCCCCAAAAATTCCAAACACCTCCCGTTTCCCCGAAATTATCAAATAAAATTGCTACCTTTTACATATCCAGAGATGAAATTCTACCAAGCTCATATAATCACCAAACACAGCTACCTGTCATTAAATGAGTGCCTCTCTCTCTCTCTTTCTGTCTCTCCACACCTCTTCTGAAAACGGGTTTCCCTCCCTCTTTTCTCCTAATTTATATGCTCTTTGTTGCCCTTTCGCGAATTTGCATACCATCAACTCGCGGCACGCAGAAATCGAGCGATAAAATTAATCGCACACGAATCTAACAAGTCGTTAGCTTTGTTTTTTTCCTCCCAAAGCTTTTTGTCTCTCTCCCTCTTTTGACGAAGACAATAATCAACACGCAGAAAGGAAAAAAAAAACAGCAGTCTGTATAATATAATGCATAAAAAATATGCGTGCCTAACTAGTTGATACCTCTGTCTGTCCGATTCATTATAATAATATGCTAATGCGCCCGCTGCTCATGGAAAAAACTGTCATCAGAGCGGAACGACGGCGACCGCGAGCATCTCCCATTATAAAAGCGCGACTTTATTATAATGAGCAGAGGAGTTTTTTTTTTTTTAATTATTTTACTATCCGCCGACTCATCAACCTGCTGCACGCATAAAATTTCAATATTTGAGGAAAAACTATAAAGATAACACAAAACACAACGCTATTCCCTCTATAATGCTTTATTTCATGTTTTTCCTTTCCTGGCTGTTCACAGATAAATGTTGGCTCGGAGACGCAAACGATTCTTGGAGACAGGAAGTGGTGGTCAAAGATGAGGAGGCTAAAACCACTTTGCACGCCAGACTCGGACTTGGTGAGTACAAAAAGAAACAATGATTCATTTTTAGGGCAAAGAAATTTTCCAAAAAATTTAACAAGACACGTTTCTACAATATGTGATTATAATTATTTCATGTTGATTTCAAATGAAGAAAACTATTATTTATTTTTCTGGAAATCCATACAACTTCAAATAACCTCTCTCTGTTCGAAAAGTTGACACACCTCTTAAAGAAGTGTCACGTTAATTTTTATTCATTCTCCATTCCGAACTAAGTCTCCAGAGCCAAAAGCCACACTTGTGTGTGCGTTACTTATTTTTAGAGGTTCACGTCATAAGCTCATTTTGATTGAGAATTGGATAAGGGAAACCCCAGCCGGCACTCGATATTTTTCTCGGTAAATACACGCACAAACTAAGTGTCCGAGCAAACTCGTTTAACCCCAATCTTTGTCGAGACTAGTCTAGGATAGACGTGAAACTTGACTAAATTGTCCGAGCTAAGATCGTTTAAAGCTGCTCGGTTAATTTGTCCGAGCTAGCTTGTTTAGAAGCCTGTTTGTCTGAGGCAGCTCGGCTATAGTAAACAAGATTGCTCATACACAGCAAAAGATCTGCAAGTTTGTAAAAATAAATTATTTAACTTGATCAAATTGTCCGAGTTTGGGGCTCAGAAATGGAAAAATCTATCAGTTTCCCCTGTTTTGAAATGGTTTAGTCCAAATTCCTTAAGTTTGGAAACGGTCAGTGTTTGTCGGAGAGCTGCAGAGTGAAGATAGTGCAGGATATTGTGGTAGCATTGAAATTCTACAAGGTAATGAAATTTTTGCAGCAAAATTTAAATTTATACCAATAATTTTTAATTTTTATTTTTTAGGTTATTTAATGGAAAACAGGCCTGTGCTGTTTATATCTGGAGCATCTTGAGCTAGGCGCTGGGAAACTAATATCAACTTACAATTAAATGAAAAGGTACTTTTTTAAATTATTTTTTGGAAATGTCTTTCGTTTTGCAATTTTAATGAAATTCCTATGTTCCTGTGGTTAAAAAATATCATTTGTGCTGATTTTAGGAACCTCGAATTGATTTGGAGCAAATAGACTTGCAGCGGAAGAGTTTTGTGCAATAGCGTTCCGAAGCTCAGCGCTGATTGTGATGTGTTTAACAAAAAGAAGAAATGGACCGGCCGAATCAAGTGATTTTTGTGTTATGTTGCAAAAGGAGCTATATAGTGATAAGGAAAATTGGAGGGACGTATGCACAAGTTCGAATTTTGACCAAGACCAAAATCTTTCGGAATTAAGGAGCTTTAACCTTCATCTTACAAACGCAATGTAAAGGTATACTATGTTGCCAAGCTATCTCATATTTTATTCAATCATATAATTTCTTTATTTTGCTGTGTTTATGAAATAAAGACATTTCTTTCAGCAGCATTTTCCTTCTCTTATTCCAATCAATTCCAACGAACTTTTACTTCCAAATAAGGAAAGCTATATTAGCCAAAAGAGCGTATAGCAATTATAAACGAGAGGGATTTACTAATATAAACGAGCTAGCTCATTCAATGTGTCCGAGCAGCGATGGCTAGCGACTGGAGGTGCCCAGCAAATATAACCGCGACAGGTCGGCTTCTGTAGCTGAGTAGCTCAGACACTGTGTCCGAGCTAGCTCGTTTAGTCTAGTTGGGGTGTTACTCTACTGCTTCAGACAAGCTTATTTTTGGGGTCGTTTTTAGAGGAGTAACTCGGACAACGTAGACGAGATCTCGACCACTTAGTTTGTGCGTGTAGAAAAAAAGTGACATTCGTGCTTCAAATTAGATTTTTACGGTGTATGTTGAAAAAGAATTCATGCTAATAATTTCAGTAGCGAACGAAATGGGAAGAAAAAGTGGATGAAAGCGGAGAAGTGATGAAAAAGCCGCCGAGAGAAAATTTACTGCCCCTTTTCACACTGCACGCAGGGACCTAACAAAATCAATTTTAATTTTATCGGCCAACTTGGTCCCTCTCTTGGCTCTCAAGTAGCGCCACCGGCTCTCTCAGCTTGATGTAATTCACTTCTCGCCGGCGTCACTTTGTGCGAGAAATTCGCGTCTCCCCCAAAGGCCATTCAGTGGACAATGCCCATTCCATTTCCCATCCATCTACAAAGCTTTGGAAAGAGCCTCGCTCGATTCGCAAGAGGCTATTTAATAATCAGCAAAGTGTGTGCGAAAGTCGAGCCCGGCAGCGAATATAAAATGCTCATAACTGTTCAACGGGCACGGCGTCGTGTATGAATTTATTATCGTTTTATGATATTTGAATATCGACGACGATCGTCGCATATCAAGCGAGCCCATTGTTATTCAGCGACGCCGCGAATTTCAACGGCACACGGATGTGCGCGCTGCGGCCGGCGATTTTATGCAAATCTCCCACCTAAGGAATTTTTCAACTGAAAAACAAATGCTGCGAGCGTACGGCCCCTGGACGACTCGAGTCATGCACATGGGAACACGCGGCATGGGGACACTCATTCACATCGGCCGACAAATGCTGAGAGTGTATTACAAATTTATTTTCATACACTCGCATACATCAAAGCGATTTCCTGTTCTGGACGCGCTTACATCACGAAGACAATAACGTTTGATTAATCCAAGTCTTTGAATAACAATTAAAAATAATAAAATTAATATTGAAATAGCAAACATAAAGAGAAAAAGCATTTATATACACTTGAAGTGGATTTCATGGGAAAATATATAAACCAAGCAAACCTCGTAGCAGAAAAACAGGTATTTTTGAAAAGAGGACTGTTAACAATTGGAACGAGTTAAATCAGAAATTTGAAAACTGCTCCTCTGTTCAATTCAATTTATATTTTTATTGAAGACGATTTAAAAGTTCTTTTATTGCGTCAGAAAAATAATAAATTTTTAATTGCAAGCTGAGCTGTTTATTGTATAAAAATGAAAATGATTTATTGTTTTTGGTGAATTTTAATTTTGGAGGCAATAATTTAATTTTTATATTAATCTGATACATATAAAAATTGAAATAAAACATGAACTTTTATTCAGTTTGTTTATTATATTGCTAATTATATTCAAAATCAATATGTTTTCATCAAATTGTTTATTTTCATTTATTATCTAAAAATTATAAATAAAAAATCCTTGGTGAACATTGGAAATTTCCATTCCTTTCACTCATTTCTTTAAATATAAAAATAAGTTATAAGTCCTTCAAACAAGATGAAAGTTATTGTATTTTTGTATGGTTTAAATTTTTTTAACACTTTACCGATCCATCAATTTTTGACTGGCCTCTTCTTTTTTTAAACTGTCACAATTCGTGACTAAATATATTTATGCACGGCCTCAGGTTCAGTCGGTTTTTCCTTTTTAAAAATAATCTTATTCAAAGGGCTCTGTGTGATTTTAGTGTGAATAGAGAGCGTTCTGCTCTCAAAAGGCACAACATTTTCCTTTTACTGCTGTCCAGCAGCATTCACTCTCAGTTTTTCGGGCCAAAAACTTTTGCTTTCAGCCTCCTTATGTACTCCACCTCTATATATGTGTTCAGTGGGGGGTGGTATGTGTGTCCACGCTGCCGTGCCTCCCTCGCAAACACATGTGCAGCTGACTTGAAACCCTCTAAAAGATCATTAATAATGTGCCCTTGCTGGACTCGCACACTCACAGAAACTTTTGCATTCTCGCGTTTCTCACATAGCGCCGTAAAAAGCAGGCAGGGGTCTTATTTTCTCAAGATTAAGACGCTCGAAAACCGCCCCTCGAGATGCAAGCAGATACGGCCGGCCGTGTCAAGACCTGCCTAATATATATTTTTCCCACATTCTGCATTTCCCTATAGGCAGATGATGACGAAAAGCAGTTTCGAACATGGAAACGGTCTTAGCCGTTGGGCAATAATCGTGTTCGAGAGAGATCTTTTTTTATTTTGTATTACCAACCACAACAGGGGTGGTTTTATTTTCCCCATTTCGGCATAATAAAACCCACTTGCGTGTGAAATTCAAATGCTGTACTGCTTGGTATGCGCGGTTTTTTTTGCATTCTCGTCTCTCGGCGTTCGTATGATACATGATGGAATGCTATGGGGTAGAAAATCAAGTGTAAAATAATGGGGAGAGCGGCAGTGGTGCCGGCCGAAGATAAAAAGCGGCAAAGTTAAAGACCGGTCAAGCGTATTCCCGCGGCCTCGGAAAATATATTGAAAATTTTATCGCACGCCTTTCTGCGCTTTACTCTGTGAGGTAAATATAAATTTAAAACACTCCACGCATGGCACCCCCTGCAATTTTTATATACTAAATAAACACGAGTGCGAACTGCAAAATGCGGCGGCGTCCCCATTCGTCTTTTTGTTTGTCGATCCGGAAAAAGGCATCGACCAGCAGCCAGAAAAAAAAGAAGAGGAAAAAGCCTGCTGGTCAAGTGTGCTTGACCGTGCAGCTAAAGCTCCCTGCAATTTGCTCTCTTTGGAGTTTCGTTTTAAATTTTTAATTTACAAACTAAGTGTAAAAGTGCTGGAAAATGAAAAATAATATACATCACAATGATACAAAAATATAAAATTGACACATAACTTCTTTTATCGACATACGAAAGTAGTTGCAAAAAAATTAAATTTTTTATGTTTCGCTTAATTTTATTGCTGATACAAATTAATTTGTATTAAAAAAATTCTAATTTAAAAATCTATTTACTTGAAAGATTGATTTTTTTTTTTTATTTAAGTTATATTAAAAATAATTTCGTTTCCTATAAATATACTTGCAAAAAGAAATCAAGTCAAATTTTTTATAAATAGACTAATACCAAATGAATTTTTCACATTCATATGGTAAAATTACAATCTGCTGCGTGGCCTATCCTGTATTTTTCATTCGGTATAGAGTAGATAACAAATAATATATCAAATTAAGAATGATTGGATCAAGTTAAAAAGAGAAAGTATTACATTAAATTGTATAAATAATTAAAATCATCGTCTAATGCAATTCATCAAACAGAAGA